GCTCATCTACTAGTAATAGTACGTCCTACATACTGTACCGCTCATCTACGTTTGGTTCTTTCCTCGTCCCTCTTGAGAGGACACTTCGAAAACATGTGGGTATTTGACCCACCTGCTGAACATTGCCACGTGGTACGGTTTTGTGTCCGAAAAAGTGAGAATGTGCAGTACAGTTCCGCAATATCTTATTCCTGTTCAAATATAATATACCTTTATCATTTGATAATTTCCAGTCTGCTCGCCTGTTTTTTACACAACCCTAATCGATACTTAATTCAAGTATAAAATTCGGCCCATCACTGGTCGTCAATGTAAATTTTGCAACTTGCGAAATTATTTACGTCATCGCGAACTGTCTAAATCCATTGTGTTTAGGTGTATGTGACAGATCTTGACGTGCTCTTTCAGATTACGTCCAACACATCGCTATAGGATATATACTTCATGAGGAATTCACGAAAGAAAAAAGGAAAAAATCGGCCCATCACTGGTCGATCACGTTACTAGTATTTTTGGAAATCTGACGGTTTCACAAACTCATGAAAGTCGTCATGAACGACCGATGGGCGATGGAAGCGTTACACGCGCTCCAACATCGCAATCCTGCGAGATTGAAGGCAGTATTCCGGGAGAACCCCGATGCTCGCATCAACACCGTCGTCCTAAAGCGTCCTGGCGGCGCGCCGTTCGATTTTGCTGGCGAAGGTACTTGTTTGCTGGGTTGATCAACACCGACCACGAGCTCGTGGCAGGTTTCTTTGACGGCCGCGCGGCGGCGTGGGCGCCGACTTCTTTCGATGTCGTCAAACATGGAGATACGTTGGTGATCCTTGCGCTCCGGCAGAACGATCCAGCATGCGCGTCGGTACTCGTCGAGGCTGGCGCGAACTTGCAGCTGACAAATGTCGACTACGAGTCAGGCATTTCCTTGGCCTGGGGTGCGTACTTGAGTCTCACAGCTGCCAAAACAAAGGCATCGTCTGCATTAACGCCGCATAAAGCCGCTTACGACGCCCTTTTCACGCACATCTACCCACAGCTCCAGTACGTAAAATGCGTCGGTTGAAATCTACTCTTGGACTGACTTGTCATCGATCCAGAGAGTACCATAACCAGATCAAGGCGAATGTTCGAGCTGAGCTTGTGACCCTATACACAACACATGCTCCCGACCGGCTGGACAAAATCGACAGCCAAATTACTGCCTTTTACGGCAACGAAGCAGACTTGGTGGCAAAAGTCCGGGCGAAATACAGCAGCGACTAACAGTCAGCGACTAACAGTTACAATGTCGACACAGTATATGCAATTGGAACATGAATCAGATGCCTTTGCGCGATTATTTCGTCACAAGTTATTGCATCACACTGCCAAATGTAGATACAACAATATATTGTCAAATCCGTTCCACGTTGGACTTCACAGTAGACTCGAATGAATTTGACAAATGTACTTATTTGAGAATGTCCTAAAGTGGACTAACGAAACATTTCATCCAATCATTGATAAGTATACTTTTGCCCAACAGTTTGGCCCAGTGAAAAAGTTAATCTTGAATTGTGTATATTGAATAAGCCTACGGTGCGTCTGGTAAGGGTGCGTCTGGTAACCGGAAATATTCTTGAGTGCAGAGTTTTACGTACGTAACCCAAATCCAATAATTCCACGTGGGATTTACTCGTTGAAGAGGTCCAAAACGCCATATATATATATATATACCTTTTTTACCTCCATTTTGAAAATGTCATTTTGGTTAATCCCATTTTGCGAGAAAATGGAATATTATTTTTGAAATGTTACCAGACGTACCCTAAAATTTCAAGAATAATATTCCATTTTCTCGCAAAATGGGAGTAAATCAAAATGACATTTTCAAAATGGAGGTAAAAAAGGTATATATATGGCGTGCTGGGCCTCTTCAACGAGTAAATCCCACGGCGAAGTATTGGATTTGGGTTAAATCTCTTCCAGCAAGGCATGTGTCAATACTAGTATTGATCAGATTCGTTGAATTCGGCCCAAAATGGCGTTTTGGGTCTGAATATTGCGATATTTCCGGTTACCAAACGCACAGAGTTGCAACGTTCAGTGACTATTGTTCAGTAATTTTGCCCGAACAGGGCCTTATTGAATTTGGCCCCAAAATGTCGCTTTGGTCCAGAATATTGCGGGCCTTTAAATTCTGACTCATATTCAAATCCATTCTCGAATCAATGCCGTCAAGAAGACGTAAAGTCCAAATATTAAAAGTGTCGTCGCAATTTTTTTGTAAATACTATCTTATATACTGTATAGTAGTCCTTTGGAGGGTTATATTTACTTGTAATAATAACGTTAGCCCTTTAGATGGTGTCGCGCTACCTTCAAGTGCACTATTGTTGTACACAACGTGGACATGATGACTATGGAAGGACAACCGCATGTTAAATTCGAATTCGTTTCATGGCCAATTTGAACAACGCCCGGTAAATATCGGTCCACACCAACGACGTATGAAAGTGGGGCAGCAAATCTTCTTCAGTGAACTGAAAGTTGACGACACTGTGGCTCCGCATGTCGAACGCGTGGAAGGTCAGCAGACGGCGCAGTTGGAACACCCGGACGTGGCACAGGTGTAACGAACTCTTGCCGCGAAGGACGAGGCGGGACGGCACCGCGCCTTGCACAAATAAGTCCAAGATCGAACTGTTCGCCGCCGGTTTCGCAGGATGCAGGTCCCGTGGGAGGTGGGGGATGTGCTCCACGGTCAGCTTGAGCGACGAGTCGGACGAACTACCGGTATGGCCACTGCTCACGCGAATGCATTGCACGAGTTTGACAAGCAGGAGTTTCAAATCGGTTTCATCCAAAGTTTGCGACACCCGCGGGAAGTTCCCGACGTCCGGGACAACTTGGATCGTGGCCAGTTTGGCCCTACAATGTCGCAACAGTGGTGAAATGTCGTGGACATGGTCAACCGATTCGCAGGATAGTATGTACAAGATGGGGCGGCCATCGACGGGAGCCAAGGATTGGGCAATGTCCACCAGACCATTCAACGGCACCACGGCTTCGCCGTCGTAATCGTCCTTGTTTGCTCGTAGAAGAAACCCTCTACGCAAGTAAATAAAAGCGTGAACTCCACAGTAAGCATCTATGGAGATCAGGGGCTGTACTGGTCGCCCAATTGAGTGGCGGAGGGCGTCACCATGGCCACTTGCAATTCTTCCACGGTAAAATGAACTCCCATGGACGTGGTGGCTTCCAGCAACAACACCGGCACACACTTGGTTCGATACGTTTGCCTAGATATATCCCACGGCGTTGTGATAACGATCGACTACTTGGGCGATGACGTACTTTCGGATGGGTACTTGCGACTTGCTGGCTTGACGAATGAAGGCCGAGGATCGCTGGGAACATCCCGCAGTGGAATTGGCTCGTTGATCTCGTTCAGTAGACCTTCCATGGGACGGCGGAGACGGTGACAGCACAACACCACCGCCGCCATCCTCCTTCGTCTCCCCTTCCGACTCGAATCGAAGACTCGTCGCCAGGCTGGGCAATGTGGTGGCCACACCATACGGAGCAAACGCCGCCGTAGCCGCTCGCGACTTTGGCGACAGGTATCCCACCGTCGCGTCTTGATGCACGTGTTTAAACTTGCCCACCGATTGTTTGTACTCCTAATGCACAGTATGTATGTATATATGGGCGAAATTGGAGCAACCACAGTTTACGATACATGAAACATGTGTGATCACGTACGGCATCCCACTTGCGAGCGCTGTAGCACGACTTTTTGGTCATGAGTCGTTGCATGAGTTTTCGGTTTTCGTCTTCGATTTTGTCGTTCTGTCGCTGCCGGTACTCGCCATTCATGCTACCCTTGTCGATAGCACAGCCCCGGGCGAGGGACTGCACCGACACGAACGAGTCGAGAATCGGCGTCTGGTCCGTGTTGAGCCGCATGCCCGGTTGAAACTCGACGGCAGCGTCCGACGGCGAAGTGTCGCAGATCTTGAGCATCTTTCGCATCAGCTGCTGGTTCTCGCCGTAGATCTGTTTGTACTTGTCCGAATCCATCTGTGCCTTTTTGAAGTTTGTTTTCAAGTGCGTGTGAACTTGCGGCGTCGTGTTGTCCAGCTTGCCCTTGGCCGGGGACAGCGACGTGGGTTGGATGTGCCGCAGCTTGTCCTGGTGAATCTTTTGACATCGTGCCACTTCGCGCTGGTAGCACAGCCGATTGTCAAAGCCGATCTTACGATTCATAGGACGTCAGCGGCACGATGATGCCGCTAATCCTGCCGCGGTTTTGAGTTGCGAGCGCCGGAATGACTATAAATAGAAAGGACACATCATCGAAACGGCGTCTCCGGTTATTATCCGGTTGATTGCATCTTTTCGCGTACACACGATACTGTAGACCGAGCGAACGATCGAGGGCGTGTACGATGTGCATAGACGAGCGAGTGACGACCGTAGAGAACCACTGCCTGTGAGATAATATTGCAAGCGACGTGGTTCTACACTAGCTTGCACTGTAGCTTGCACGGCAGTTGCAGCATTACATGTACATTACTTGGGCCGAATATGCCACAGTGTACATAGTTCTAAGGTTATGTGTGAGGGGAGGTCGCAGAGTCGCTCACTTGAAGTAAAGTCAGGAGTCAATGCTACAGTCAGTACGACGTCAAAGGGGTGGCTTTTATCCAGTGGAATACGCGGCGACGCATGTGCGAATATGTACTTGATTGAATCCCCCGCTGAATCGACATTTCGGATGAATACCGTAACACATTACCCACCGATAACGCACTACTACTGTACTTGGGGTCCTGACAGTGTGATGCCCTCCTGATCGACATGTATATGATGGGCCGTTGACGTGCGTGCGGTGGCTACAGTACCGCAAGCATGCAGAACAGCGTTGGCGACCTCATTTGCTTTGGGCAAAATGGGATATACACATTTGTCCCGAACCGTGTGGGTACGTGTATCTGCAAAAAGTACCTAACTCCTCCTCACGATACCGTACGAGTATGCGCACATTTCGTTAGTTACAGGTGTAAGCTACAGTAATCATCCGACATCCTTCACAAGTACCGGTACAGTAGTACGGTACAATAATGTACTGGTAAATCCCAACAGCACAGCAAAAGCCCTTACTACCGTAGTACACTCCCATAATTGTACAGGGGTGTAGTATTGTCTATGTTGGTGCTTTACATGATACTGCTTGTACGCAACATTCGGTGTCGTTTTTTGTACTGTAGTTCGGACACCCATCCTGGGCTGGAGTACTAGTACAGTACGTACAGTACTTATACGGTACTACATTGGGAACTGGTACTCCATAGGATACATAATACTATTACTAGTACTGTACTACTGTGTGCAATTGGAGTGCAAGAGTCCAATTATACTACAAATACTCCGAGTACCTACTAGTACTACGTAGTACTCCGGAGTACTACTACGTAGTACTAGTACTTCGAAACAGCGTTTTGCAGTGCTTTCTGAGAAAAAAACACAGTACCACTGGTTCACAGTTAATAGGGGAATTGTACAAGTACACTCGCAAGTTTCTCGTACACTTGACAGCCACTGTAGAATTCGGTATGAGAGATTCATCCTTCCATAGTATTTTGTCACTCAAACTTGATAAACATTGTCCGTGCTATACATATAGTACAGACTGTACTGACACTTTAACTGAGGTCGTTGATGCGTTGCTGAGTGACGGTATTTGAAGGTACTACTACAGTCTATAGTACCAGTACATTGCTAGTAGCTTACAGTTAACACAGTACAGTCAGTACCTGGAATCTGCGGCCACAAGGTACCGAGGTAGTACTACGTAGTACTACTAGTAATAAGTAGTTCCCACCGTGTAAATCCCAACAGCCTTGTTCACGAAATTTAATCAACCAATTTGTATGATGGAAGGTACCAGATTGACGCAAGTGGTTCAGGTGGACTGTATCCTGGGTTGACTACAGTACTGGGGATCGTAGCACGACTAATGTCTGCATCATGTGATGGTTCGATTTACTCCGTTTACCTTGATTTCACTATTGTAAAAAGTACTATCGACCACGTTGGTCGTCAATTCAGGAGCGGTAAACTTGGTTTAAGTATACTGGTCAAACCTGGTCGCACTATCTGCAAATTACTATTGGTACCGACCAACTGGATGTCGTCACCACCTGGCACCGCCAGCCTGCCAGCCAAACCTCGGTGGTCGCATTTGTCAATTGTCTGAAGTACTCCATAGTACCATGGGCTGTTACCAGTCGTCCGCAGTGCCAACCCTCGCAACCATACTAGGCCACAAGCCACACGCAACGCTGCAACCATCCATGAGCACGACGTCAGACGTACCCAGACTCCGCCAGTCGACTTCGTTCCAGCGCATGCCACTGGCGCGAGTAAAGTACCCGTGCCAAACCAGCACGTGGATCAGAGGCAACCCCGTCGCCGTCGAGTGGTCCGTACTCGATCCGTCCGCGGTGTACGTCAAGATCGAGCTGTGCCACGTCGACTCGACCGCCACCACACTCGTCACAGCCTCGGCTCCCAACACAGGGTGCTTCGTCTACTCCAAAGTGCCATGGGGACTGATCGGCGACGGCTTCTACATCCGCATCGTCGAGCTCGTCCCAGAAGCATCGGCGTCACAACAAGCAACGGCGCCTCGAGAAACGCTGAGTGATGTGTTCCGTGTCGGCAACTCCAGGTGGCCAGACACTGCGAGCGAAGGATCGCTCACGCCCGTGAGTGTCCGCGGGTCGTCGATTCGGTCGCCGTCCCCCATGTCGTCGAGATGGCACACCGAGCACCAGCCGTCATTTCGACCGGCGGCAAGCTGCTACTGACGCCAGTCAGAAATACCATCCAAGTTAGGTAGAAGATAATTGTTATTTATGTCCGCGCGTGCCCTAGAAGGTGAACAACATCGAATGGTTGTGATCCTTGCAATAACTACATAGTATTGTAACGGTTAGGGTTTCATTTGGTATTAGTACAGTCACAGTATCCCCGTTGGCTACAACGAACGATGGGGCTGGCATGTCTTTGTCCCCACCAAGATCAGGGAGATTTGCACAAGTTGAATGCGGATTGCACTCCGGCCTTAGTTACGTGTAAAGCTCATGCGCCGCGGATATACCATAGTACTCTGTACAGATATCGGTGTTTATGGGGTACATACCGTACGTGAAAAGACATGATAGTTTTTGGTGTCGTTGCAACGACACCAACACTTGAAGCGTGAAATCTCGCGCACGAATTAATTTCGTACTACGGGTACTGTACCGGTAGTAAGTACATGTACTTGGGTATCGAGTTTTCTTGTCCACGTGCGTACAACTCCATGCTGCCCCAGTCCTACATATCTTGTCATTGCGACCACAACGTGTGCTTCATGCAGAAAACAAGCATCATACTACTACCACGCCCAGCTGTACATTGTAGTGGACTGGCGTAAGTAGTTAGATCGCGACTGTGACATCGTTGGAACTCGTGGAAGGCACACAATGTATGCTGGGCTGTAGAACGGAGGAGAAGGTTTCATTGCCACTCCACCTAATTTTCAGCTAAACGACGTGGGACGATCCCCCACGGTCCGCTACATACTTGGATTTAATTCCTTCTCGAGTGGACATGGACAATTCTGGTCGATGTGTAAACATTACTACTGTATAACGGGTACCGGTATACGTACAGTATCTACAGTGTACAGTGAAATTGCGAATCAAATATGTTGAAGTGTGATTGGATCGTTTACTTCGAACTTCGATTGTTCGGACAAATCAAACGATGCATTTTGAAAGATGTGAAACGGATTGGCTAAAATACACCCAAAAACTTCAGTCTGTTACAAATTTCAAAATACACGGAAAAGGTGAAATAATCGAGCAAAATACGACCAATTTCGACCAAAAGATCGCACGTGCGAGCCATATTTTTGGATTTGTTTAGGTGTACTACACACATCGTTGGGATTACTTTCAGCGATTTATCCCACTGGTGCCAGCCGCTTTATCCGTGTCTTGCGCTCGCCATAGCAACCTCCGCGACTTCGTTACACCTTCCGTAGCCCCTACATAAACAATCGCCTTTCCTCGTCAATCGTACATACGATCATGAGGTTTTTCCAATGGCCTTGTGCTTACCTTTGGAAGGCCACAGTCGCCAGGACTTGTCACGTACAGTACATACACAGTATGCCAAACTCGTTTCACCTAGCCTTCTGATCGCGAACACCCATCTCAACGGTTACATTTATACACTGTACAAGGTATACCATGTAGAATTTGGTACTACTACAGTACTACGTACACGAACGCCTTCTATCATTCCTAGGCGGTGTGATGGTCCGCTTCACTTTGGGGTCGCTCCATACTAGTAAACCCAGGCCACGACCTACTATTACTATGTAGTATATAACGGTCGGTACAGTGTCGAACGTTTTCAGTGATATCGCACCCGTCGTCGCATACTTTGAAGTAGTACTAGTATATATCTGGCGTTGTAAAAATGGAACTACGTCTGGGTTGTCTCGTAGTACTTCAAGTATATTATAAGGACATAGTAGTGGCGCATCTCACGGGCACACTTATTCCCACGCACGCATTTCTTGCCCTGGCCAATCACATTGCTGGAATGACCAGATTTTTGGGTCTGTCGTCAAATCCAGATCGTCGAACCCAGCGGGCGCATTGTTGCTTTCGCCTTGTTCGTAGCGCATACCAGGTTGGTTACATATACTCATCGACGCTGCGCGAACCATGGGCGCCCAATCCACACGCATGTACGGTCAGCGGCATTCGACCCGCCGAGGCTGCGTGGCCGATGCCACAGCGACTTCCTCGTCGACGGACTCCCACAAGAGGAAGGCGCTGGACACCTCCGTTGCCGACAACGACGGCACCCACAGCAGCTCGTTTCTACACATTCGATACCCGTGCGAATCCAGCACATGGATTCGCGGCAGTCCCGTATGCATTGAATGGACTGTGCTCGACCCGACCATCCAGAACGTCCGCATCGAGCTGTGCCAACATGGTTCGTCCGTGTCCACACTATTGACGCCATCCGTGCCAAACTCGGGCTGCTTTGTCTTGGAGCGCGTGCCTTGGGGTGTCCTCGGCGATGGTTTTTACATCCGTGTGATCGAAGACTTTACAAGTAGCAGCAGCAGTCGACCTTTGCGATGCGCGCAGAGCCACAAGTTTTGCGTAGCCACCACGCGATGGCGGTACCATCACCTCACATCCACCACCAAACCTTCAGCCTCCCCTACATCGGCAACCGTCCGAATCCCGTAGCCCCGAGTAGCACCAGCATTTAACACCCCCCTTAACTATTTATCCCATTTTTGCAGATCGTATATTGGTCATTGGCTCGAAAGATATGAGGCACATCGTAGCCTTGCGTATTTGTAAATTTTGAATGTTCAGGATGGGGGCGTCGTGGGTGGGAATCCGACACCGGCAAGAGCCCAACGTGGCAGCTGACGTCAGGAAATGGGGTCGCCGTACTGTAGGCAGTACATTCTTGTGTACGCTAGTTGTGCATAAATATCTCGGCTAACATGTGTGTACGACTAAACTAATATCAACGGTGGCGATTGGAGAACTTTGGATAAACTCACCCGAACTATACCTTGCCCTTGATCTCCTACTATTAATACTAAGAACTAAGTATTGGAATACTTGGAAGTATAATACTTGTATTCAACAACCTGCATTCTGGCACCATCACCCCTTCCGTAGTCAAAATGTTGTCGTGAAAAGCAGCAAAACATCATATATTGGGCTCGACGCATCGCTAGAGTCGTCGTCACATGCTTTGTTTAACACTTGACTTGGCATCTATTCCATTAACGTTCGTTATTCGTTGTTATCGCTCTTACTAAAGTTCTCCTTCCAAACCACCTGGGGGTATCTACTACGTACAGTGTACTGTAGTATAAATCATCGTCACGGAAAGTGTGTATAATTTGCTCCATTATTTTTTAGATGTGCATGGTATCGCCTGTTTTTGCCCTTTTCGTTACCATCCCCGCACATTATTGCAGGTAAGCTTACTTTTAACTGTTACTAGTATGTACTATTAATAATATGTACCAGTAGTATTTAGGAATTCGCTATAAAGTAAAATTCGCCTGGTTAATATTGAATCACGCCTGAGTTCTGATTGGTTGAATATACTTGTCCTTTCTGCAACAACCAATCAAATCCATTCAAAAATGGATTAGCCAATAGCGTCGATTCGTGATTCGATTCGGTGGCGAGATTCGACGGGGTCTGGAAATTCAAACCAAATCCACAATAATAGTACCGGTACCGTACTACCTACATACCATATACTACTAGTTAGTATTCATGAACTTGAGTAATGGGGTACTATTTGTACGGTAGTAAAAGTCGAAATATGCATCGTCTATGTCCGTTTCGGGTTTGGTTGGGTGGTCAGTTATGTACATAGCTGGCCACAAAGTGGCGAGTGTTCACTTCGCAGTCTTATAAGACAACGCCATCATCACGTGGGCACTGACTCCACTGACGTGTTCAACGTTTCAACTCGTTCACGTCATGTGGGGCCGGCAGCATGTAGGCAGGGAACGTTATCGCATATTATTATTACTTATGTCGATCGAATCAAGCAGCCATCCAGTGTCGACAGGATTCCTCCATTAACGTTACACGTAGTTTCAGTACTACTTAGTACGTGAGTAGTTTCATTACTAGTACGTGAGAGTACATATGTAGGTGCGGTGGGTAGTTGTTGTTACTCTATCTCTCTCCTACTCGGTCAAGCCAACTGCGGCATCGAAATGGTCCAAAATATACACCACCGCCACTTCCATCGCGGTTGCGTTGGCCTTTTGGGCGACTTTAAACGCGTCCAACTACACACATGAGGACATTTCACACGTGTGATTTCATACAACTCGTACCGTCAACTTGTGGCCGAGGCCATTGGCCAGGTTATCCACGATTGATACCATCGCAAATGGCAACTTGACTTCGTTGGCTAGACCTGCTTCGTGTGCCCCCGTCATGCCCACCAGCTCCTACATATCGAGTTGGTGTTTCACTTGTATTATACGCGTAGTACTCCATATTGGGAAAAGAATCGGATTTCCGACTTGGTTTCGAAGCGCGGCCCTGACGTTTGCACGTACACGCCGCCATCCCGCACGTTCAAGTTGGCTTGTTGCAGCAACTGCACCAAGTGCGTGCGCAATGGCTCGGTGATGTCTACAACCACGAACAACCAATGAAAAGTAGAAAACGCGACGACGTTCTACAGCGACTTACGTGGGACAACGTGAGCTTCGTACGACGTCGAGATGTTGAGGATGTTGAACGGGTTAAAGTAGTCGTCGGGGATGACCAACCTACAGTTATAGACTCGTGCGGTTCATGCAATAAGAGACGACGGACGTACTGGCCGATGGGGATGTCCAAGCGCATGGATCCAACAGAGTACACGCCAATAATGCAGTCCACCTTTTCTTGCTTCAGCGCCGTCACTATCGCGCGGTAGTTGACGTTCGCCGGCTGGTTGTACTCGTGGTTGGCGGCGTCTGCGTGGTGGCGCTGGATGAACACAATGTCGTGGGTCGTGCTGCCCCACACGCCAGTGTACACAAGCACCGAGCCATGCTCCGTGTCCACGACCTTCTGCGCCAGGGACGAGAATCGGGTCGAGTGGAAGAGGCTCGAGCCGCCGATGATGCCAATTGTGAGCTTGGACATGGTTCAACTCCGTCACTTCGAAAATACAACCTCTTGCTGCCGCCTTCCATTTTGATTGGCTACATCGGACTGGCCAGCCAATCCCGACGCGCCACTTTTCGCTGTCATGATTGTCGTCGAAAAAATCTTTTTTTGAGTCGTTTTACTTCCTGCGACCTACTACTATTCATAAGTAAGTTAGTATTATTAATACATACAGTATTTGGTCAAAATCTACAATATCCTTACAGTTACTTTTAGTCAAATTTGTAACGTAAACGATACTCTTTCACTTTTCACCATCAAGGTCTTGATGGTGAAAAGTATAACATTTATAGAACAAAATATGTTTTTAACGCATCTCCAATACCACTACTGGTAAGCGTACCGGTATGTTTCCTCACTCTGCATATGTATCTTGAATTCAAATGAAAATGGGACAAACAACTGTAGCTCAGCAAAATGCACAACTTCTACAGTACCTCGTACTTCGAAGTACTAACTTAGTAGTATAGTAGTCAATACTCCGAAGTAGTACGTTTGTTTCAACGAATCTACGCTAAAAAATCTCCAATTTGCGGTCAAATTGACAAAGTAGCATGAGTCTGTTACCAATGGCAATTGTCCAAGTGGTTAACCAGTCGAAATATCAATTCTCAAAAGGTTTGACAGTAGTGTTCTTTCCTCTATAACCGTGTATCTTCAAAATTTTACAATTTCATCTCGTCATGAGTAACGTAGAATGCCAATTGTTGCAATGCAACTCTTTTTGTTTTCGGAGAATAATGGCCATAATTCCTGATTGACTGTGAGGCATCGTTTTTGAATCCTAAATTGTAGATTTCAGGACAATCCACCAATTATCAACGTCCAATGTATTTGTATACTGCTCTTCATATATGCTATATATACATACATACCTCTATAAAGTGGTGTGCCAATTGTTGACGTATTATTTTAACCCTTCGATGTTGTATAGCTACGGGTGTACTACGTAGTAAATATTTAGAGGTGTGCTCTGTGATTGGCGCATTTCCAATACGGCTCAGTGATTGGCTTAGTTTTATACGCCATTAATTGGCACATACACCATATCAATTCAGTACGCCATTAATTGCACATACTATTAATAGTAGTACTTAAGACTTACGGGACAGCATTGAATATTAATAATACCAACCTTGGATACTATGGTTAATATAATATAATTGTTGAATTAAAAGCATGGATGACATGTGGATGAAATTTGGATGACATTGGATGAAGTTGTGGGATGAAACCTAAAGTAGAGTGACCAAGCCTTACGTTGGCCCCGAGCGCCCGGGAGGCCGTCTGCGCAAGCGCGGCCGTACGAGAGCGCGGATCTAAGCTTCTCACTTCACCGAATGATCTATCTTTCCTTCTTGTCGGGCAGCGGCAGGTAGGCCGTAGGCCGTGCCGCTCCCGGACGAGGCCCGTATGCAATGACCTAGCATTATCCTAATTTACTCTCATCTCTACTAATTAGGATATGACCTAATATTAATGTTGGATGACGTTGGGATGATGTTTGGATGACACATGATACTATCACGGATATTTGAAATCCATATAAATATTTACTAGTACTACGTAGTACTATTCTTGTCCTTTTACCCAAAATTTGAACTTTGGTGCTGATTCGCCAAATCTATCGATCGAAGTACTGACTTTTGTATGAAAAATCCTCCAATCCAATTTGAATCGACTTTTCTATAATAGACATTTATTCATATTGGCAGGTTAATACTATGAATAGTATAGTCAAAAACAAGAATTGATCGTTTTGTACATAACGTTAGTACTTTTGTTACCCGTCAATTTCCACCAAACTCCACGACTCATCATGCATTTCTTCTGCCGTGTTATCGACATATTACAAAAGCAGCCAGCTATCAACCTACAGTCTCGAGCGGCCGCGGCACACATCAACGAGTGAACTAGTCTAAATGAGATCGGCGACATCCATGGGCATTTCGTCGATTTGGGTGTTGTAAAACTGTTCGATGTCACGGAGGTAGCGCGCGTCGGCCGCCGTCAAAAAGTTGATCGCTACACCCTTGCGACCGAATCGGCCGGAACGCCCGATGCGATGGATGTAGTTTTCGCGGTTCGTGGGCAAGTCGTAGTTGATCACAAGCGACACTTGCTGCACGTCAATCCCGCGGGCCAACAAGTCGGTCGTGATGAGCACGCGCGACGACCCCGAGCGGAATTCACGCATGATAATGTCACGTTCGCGTTGCTCCATGTCTCCGTGCATCGCCGACACGGTGAAGTCCTTCGCCTGCATGCGTTCGGTCAACCAGTCCACTTTTCGTCGCGTGTTGCAGTAGATGATGGCTTGTGTGATGGTGAGCGTCTCGTACAGATCGCACAGCGTGTCGAACTTCCACTCTTCACGGTCAATGGCAATGTAGAATTGCTTGATCCCTTCCAACGTCAGTTCGTCGCGCTTGACGAGGATGCGGATGGGGTCGCGCATGAAGCGTTGGGTCACTTCGAGCACATCCAACGGCATCGTGGCACTGAACAACGCCACTTGCACCTTCTCGGGGAGGAATCGGAAAACATCGTAGATTTGGTCCTTGAACCCACGCGACAGCATCTCATCGGCTTCATCCAACACAAACAGCTTCACGTTGTCCGTGCGGAACGCGCGGCGGTTGATCATGTCACCGACACGGCCAGGGGTACCGACCACGATGTGCACGCCGGATTGCAACGTGCGAATGTCGTCGCGCACGGCCGTCCCGCCGACGCACGCATGCACGCTGGTGCCAGTGTAGTCGCCCAACGCCATGACGACCTTGACGATTTGGAGCGCCAATTCACGCGTGGGGGCAAGAATCAACGCTTGGGTTTCGCGAAGAGCCGGGTCGATCTTCTGCAAGATGGAGATGGCAAACGTGGCCGTCTTCCCCGTACCAGATTGCGCTTGCGCAATGCAATCGTGTCCCAACAAGATGGGCTTCACGGCGCGTTGTTGAATCGCCGACGGCTTTTCGAAACCGTAGGCGTAGATACCGCGCAGCAAGTCTTCGCGCAACTCCATGCCGTCGAACGATTCAATGACTTCGTCCCAGTTGGTATCGATGTCACCATCGAGGATGGGTTGAGGGGCTTCCTCTTGTTGTTCCCGGCGGGGGCTACATAGACGAGGGGGTCAGGTCAATGCGTCAAGGCGACGCCGCCGACGACGGCGACTGCCTCGTACCTTCGTGGCGCGTCAGACATAGTTTTCCGTAATAAAGCCACACCACCAATAGGCTGACTGAAGTTGAGTATGCCCAGAACACCAATCAAGAATCGGGCCAATCAGAGAATCGGATTCGAAATATCCGCCAATCATATCCCTTTATAACCCAACGGCGACATCTGGGGGGCGAAGTGGAGCTCTATTCCACCAATCACAGCGCACCAACCCACCTTTTCCGAAGATGGAGGTGCGTTTCACGTCACGTTTTGTTAGACGGTTTTCTTGTAGAGGGCGAGTGATGGACCAGAAGCCAGAGATTAAGCTTTAAGGACCCGACGCGGAATAGAAGCGACCGCGACAAAGCGTCGCCCTGATGCTGCACACAGCTTGCCCACGCAATTCATGCGGTTAGAGATTCAAGAAGTTGTGTACTAGTAAGCTTGCTGTACTGTACATGGGTGAAAGGATGAGATGGCAAATCAGCTGGAAATGTATACCATGATGGAGGATGGTCTTTCCTGCATCATGGTATACATTTATGAGCATTGACGGCTACGTGCTTCGAATAGTATATATAGCTAGAGCTACATGAAGCATTCACGTGCTCCTACTCCAGTACTGTACGCACTCGCGTGACATGCACAGCAAACACGATGCATGCATCCTCCATGGTCGTGTAGACGAGGAGGACTACTCAGGGAGCGCTCGGGGATGAGATACTTGAATGGTTCTGTCCATACAGGCCCTATCTTTTGGTGACGGAGACGGCGGTCGTCCATCTGAGACTTTTTTTCCCAGTCGAAGGATGAGATTGAACGATGGACATTTCGTTGATGTGCAATATGTCGAACACGTACGGATAACCAACACCTTCAACAAAGAAATCCGGATACCATTGCGTGAACCGTCGTCACCCGCATGGAGAGTTCTATGGACGTCGCCGACGACACCGCGCCGCCGCGTGCAGATGAGGTAGAGGAGGGTACTCTCCATTTTGACGACGACGACGACGACAATGCCCACTCCGCGTGGTCCAAGTACGAAGCGTTAAAGTCCAAAGCCACCGCGCTGTCGGCAGTGGAGATGGACGCACTGGCGCAGTGGAAATGGTATACACGTGTCCTTTCTAGTCGTGTTCATGACGATGGCGTTCTCAGGCTCAACGGTCGACTGGGGGAGGCCATCGACAGCTACTTGGAACTGGCCCGCACGCACCCAAAGTACCTCCACGTGCACTTCAAGCTCGGCTACCTGTACTTGATTCTCCAAAACTACGAATCTGCGATCCAGCATCTCACGTACGAGTCACGGGCCAAACACGAGTGATATGTATATATATATATGATGGTCGTGCTATAGCCTTGAAATGGACAAGCATGCGCACATGCCGCCATTGACGAACGTCCGCCGCGCGAAAATACTAGCTCAAAAGGTAGTTGAAAGCCTGCCCATGGATACTGTAGAATCAACTCACAAAATCATCCCAGGCATACTATTGGTGCAGTGCCGCGGGACGCATGGAGGCACACCAGTACTTGAAACACTTCGATGTACGAGAATCAACATCAAGCGCACACAACAATACTAGTTAAATGGCCTTGGCTTGATAGAAAAAAGCAGTGGACGCTCGCCTTGTCGCGAGTGACGGCGGCAGTTCCACGGAAGGATTGGTCGCGATGGGGTGTCTATTTCGGCAGCTGGGGCTGCTCCAGCGTGCTGAAGGATGCTTTGACCAAGGTATTGATTGTCCTTTTATATAATTTGGACTGACTCGCCAAATCTATCGATCGATTCTTTGTACTATTGTGCTTTCGAGTGAAATTTCATTGTGTTGTGGCGTGGTTTCTCGTTGGAATTTAAATCGATTTGATTGGCTACTTCAGATGAGCTCAAAATTATAAACCAATCAAAACCTTCTAAATGAAATTCAACCAATCAGATCGATTGTGGATCGGTTGGGTTGGTGCGATTCGATTGCACCCTGTCAATTTGATATACAAATTTGGGGACAGGGTGCAATCGAATCGCACCAACCCAACCAATCCACAATCGATCTGATTAGTTCAATTATTTTCTTTAGGTTTTGATTGGCTTCTAATTTTGAGCTCATCTGAAGTAGCCAATCAAATCGATTTAAATTCCAACGAGAAACCACGCCACAACACGAAATCTCACTCGAAAGCACAATAATAATACTGAAATTTGTAACATGTCAAAAGGTGTCGATGTATTTTTTCACACTAATTCAAGTTCCACACACTAATTCGATGTTGATCATGGTTTCCAGCAACCTGATTGGGTAAAACCTTCTGCCGATGATTCTTGTGTATTTGAGTGTCGATTCCTTCGTTCGTTCTCCATGTCGCTCCTCCAGTTTATAAACACAGTATGGTCTTTCTTTTACCCAAAATTTGGTTGACTTTTGGGCTGATGCTTTGCCAAATCCGTCGATGGATTCTTTGAACTGACGTTTGTATGTAAAACTCGTTCAATGTCAGACTAATTTCATTCACACACTAATTCAATATGTGGATATGGTCCAAGAGTGGATTTGATTGGTCACTTGATTCGTGTTGTGGGTTTTCATTGGTCGATATATCGATTGTCTGCCGATTTGGTGATTCTGCTCAAAACACTCCAATTTCGAATCGATTTGACATATACCATATCAACTATCTTTCTATCGTCGTATCTATTACAATCTCCTACACAAAACCTAACAATATATAAATACCCTGCTACTATCCATTTATGTGCCTGTCTGTATATAGCGTCACTACAGAAACCGAACGACCCGAGCTACTTGGTCGAGTACGGCAAACTGCTCCTGCTCCAACGCCGACCGGGGCCGGCCCTGGGAAAATTCAGCGACTGCCGCCGCGTCGCGCCTGCTTTAAGTGAAGATTTATTCCAAGCCATGCTGGGCGAAGCTGTGGCCAACATGCGGCTCCAGAAGGCGGCGAGTACGATTGCATGGGATGCTATGTGAATATGCAAGGAATCGAAGCTTGATATATGGAGGTGCTGCTGTGTGTATGTAGTGGCGCAGAGCATCCTTCAGAAGATCATTGATAGTCTGTCCCCCATGGTCGAGCAAGGTACACCGCGTTAGATCTTGAGAAATATATGATTTGAAATACTATATGATTTCAAGTACTATATTATAACCCCCCTCCTGCAAATAATATAATATATTATATGTTCGATATGCCACTTTAGAGATAATATTTAATATGAATGGGTTGTATGTAGGATTGGCGCCGTTGATGATGAATTCCGAAATGGACCGCATGACCATTCGACAAATCTTGCACCAAGCTATCCATTGCCAAGGTCCAGTTTTCACTTGACAAGATCGTTGATATATATATATATATATATATATATTCACATTCAACCAAATAATATTATACCAGGCTGCTGTGCCATACTCCAAGGGGATATCAAGAGTGCGCTGGACGTGTACTACACTGTGGTTGCAGAATACGCAGACTTCCAAGTGGGTAAAATAAAATATTTTTCTAAAAATTATTATTATCGTTTCCTAACGATAATTACTAGTATATTAGCTAAAGTTGATTTGTATAGCTGCCAGTGATGTGTGTCACTCCTGGCGCCCGCGATGCCAAGGGACATCTAGTGGACACATCCATGTTCTCTACCCATCGAATTGTTGACTTGCTCGTGTATCTGGACGAAGTACGGGGGATGTGATGATGGTTATATACACTTGACACTCGACCTAGTCGATATAATCGGCGCTAGTTTGAGTACTTGTATAGATAGTGTGGTGGTATTCGTGTTCATATTGTACGTATAGATTGAATCCCGCTACGGGCCCGACGCGTGCTTGTACTTTCACCGGTACGTCTATCTATATGTCTTATATAGATAGATAGATTAAACACTGTGTTATTGTATAGAGCCAACATCTACCGCGCGCTGGGCGATCTCAAACGGTTTATAGATGACTTGACCCTTGTCGAATCGTTAAACCCGCAGTTCCTTCGCCACTACTTTGACCACGTACATACATACACGAATGAAATGTCCTGATGAACGCTGATTGGTGGAATCAATGGATGGACAGGACAGCTTGGGGGACTTTGTGGACGAAGAAACCATGACATGGATCCCGCTGAACATGCTCGAGTCCATTTGCGAGCTCACAAAGCCAGTGTTGCCTGCCAGCAAAGGTATACATGTCCTCCATATATTGTCCTTTGAGTCAAACATTCGGAGTTGTGGGGCTAATTATTTGTACTGAATTTTGTATGAAACGAGTATCGATCGCCCTTCACCCGAATTTCAATATATTGTTCAAGAGACAGTTTGATTGGCCACTTGATTAGTGTTCAGGTTTTTTTGATTGGTCGATCCATTATCGGTCGATATTGATTTTGAATCGAATGGGATATATATATATTGCAATGTCGTGCACCTATACAAATAACAACATGGGTAGCTCCATCCACCCCGACCGTCCTCATCGAAGCCGCGGTGCACCAGTACTTTGCCACACGGCTGCAATACAACAAACAAGATGATTTTTACGCGCAAGTGTTTGCCATCGACTCGCTCCGTCGATTGAATGTGCAAGGTAATAACAACATCCTGTCCTGGTGCTGCACCCATAGATTGTCCAAGTTTAATGTACACTATACTCACTGTATACCCTGAAACATGTGTTTATGGTACACCCATACAAAACCCAAGTCTAATTTCAAGATGGGGCACTGTCTTAGGGGAAGTCCCGCTGGCGTTGCACCGACTGCGCCAAGGCACGGCCATTTCGTTTGACGATTCGCTGTGTCACTTGAACCAGTCCGAGGTCAGTAAATAGTGACTACTGTAGTGCCATTTGAGTATTAATTTATGGGGGTTTGAAGGCGTCTCCTACTACTGCCAAGTCGCTGATCCAATCGATGGTCAAATCGCACCCGCGGCACCCGACGGTGCAGTTTATTGCAGCTCTGGTCCATATGTCTGAACTAAGGCTTGACAGTACGAATACATATATATATATATATTCTAGTATATATTTATAAAATGGTGGTGTTTCTATAGGCGCGCACCACCACTTGACTCAATGCCTCCAAGAAATCAACAAGTCGATGAACACGATGGACGCCGCGTGGAAAGTGCAAGGGCAAGATGCTGCTAACGCCACCGACGCGGTCGCTAGGTGATGTATATATATAAATATATTTTAAAAAATATCATTTATTGACAGTAGTAGCGACTAATTATTAATCTACGTCTTGGTGAATGCAGATGGACGTACCTAGGGTATATTCGAATCAAATACCATGCGCTCGTGTGGTAAGCATCTATATATATATATGATATATACTTCAAGTCTATGTATATATATATATATATATATATATATATATATATATATATATATCGATAGTTTGGCTGCGTGTAAAAAATAGGGTGAAGTATATATATATATATATATATAAATGAATAAATATATATATATAAATGAATATATATATATAAAAATGAATATATATATATATTTATTCATTTATATATATATATTCCATCTCATATTACCAGGCGGTCGGTGGTGCTACAATTGAATTTGCGTGGACAAGAAGCGGTGGGGGACATGCGTGCGGCCATGTCGTTGCTGCCTTTGGAACCCCATGCGATGGTGCGTTTCGTAGCAACTTGCTGGCAAATTCGTATTCTTGATATATTGACTATTAAAATATGTATAGTTTCAAAAAGCTTGTATGATGGTGCATTATGGGTACCTAAACAACGCGATCGCGCCCCTTCGTGACGGTTTGTCGGTTCGTACGACCTCGAGCTGTTCCCAGCCATCCATTTTATTTTTTTAATTTAAAATAATAATGGTGGATAGTGCTTGAAGCGCGACGGACGAGCCAAAGACACTGCCATGTGCATGGACTACATTCGATTGGCTGGCATCAACTCGTTTTCACTATTACCCCAGGTACATGTACAAAACAATATACCGGAATATATATACGAACAAACATATATTTTGAAACGGAAATATAAAAAAAAATATTTACTTTATCTGACGGCCAAATATATTGCAGGAACTCAAGCGTGAAGGACCCGTCCCGACCGACGACGACGACGACGAGGCCGATCACCTGCGGCGTAAAAATGCGATCGCCGATGCCCGGGGAGGCACGGTCTTGTACGCGAATGCATTGGACAAACTGTACGAAGCTGGGGTGCTCAAGTTATCCAAAGGCCAGGTGAGAAATACAGTATTATATATAAATATATTATATATATACTCGATCCAAATATCCAGACTTTGTCGAATCGAATCATGAACCAATGCTATTGGCTAGTCCACTTTTGAGTGCACTCTCTGATTGGTTCTTACAGAACGAGTGCAATTATATATTTAGCCAATCAAAATTGTCAGCGAGATTCAATATGGATTACAAACCCACGCGAATGTTGGAAGTTGAAAGCTAATACACAATACCTTTCCCATACTCTATTTTTATATACATAACTGCATATAAGTATATTTATAACATGTATATATATATATATATATATATA